GTTCCGCCCCCCGCCTCGAAAGTGCAAGGTCCCAAGTTCAATCCCTCGCACCAAAAAAAAAAGAAAGAAAATAATAAGCCTGGCTATGCTGCTTTCTTTACTTGATACTGGAACACAGGCATCTCTTCAGCTTGTCAGTCTGTCCTGGAGACTCTCGTGTGTCCCTCCATATCCTCTCTCTACTCTTCCACCCATCTCAGTGCCCTGGGAGACTCTCCATGGACCACAGCAATTCAGTTCCCTCGCCCACTGGCTTCCCAATGAGCTTGGTCAATGGGAGCCACCAGAAGAGGAAAGGACAGAAGAAGAGATGGGGCGTTTGTCCTCTTTTTCATTGCCAAGCTCTGTGTAGACTGTGGCCTGGCTGCCTCTCCAAAGGACAAGCTCTTGAAGAAGGTCAGTGTCTTCCATAGACACAGCTCATTCTGGATCCTAATGCTGCTCCCTCCTTTGCCCTTGAAAGCCTCGGGGAGATGTTCCTTCCCAAGTTCTCCCCAGCCTTTAATCTGCCCCCAGCTTTTAAACATTCCTGTCCTTAAGCTGTCTTTCATCACCCCCTTTCAGCATTCTCCTTTCCTCTCCCAGGACCCTGACTTACACAAGGAAAGACTGAGATCAACAGTAAATAGAGATTCCTTGTGCGAACCTCCATCCTGAAACTTGAATTCATTCATATCCAGTTTTGTCAGAAATCCTACACTGGGGGTTTCCACACCAGGCTAACAATACAGAGGTCCTTTGTTTCCTGTTTCTGATCAGCTAGCTAGAGTTCAACAAACACCATTTACAATGCTTACAACAGCACCCTAAATCTGAAATACTTGTGTAACAGTCTGGAGGTGGAGCCCAGTGCCTTTAACTGCTATTAACACTCATCTCTGTACAGAGAAGAAGAAAGAGGTTGGCCTGCAGACCGGTGACTCCCTGCTGAGTCTTGATTTTGTTTCTTGCCTGGGATCTGAGATCAGACCGGCACGTTCATGTCATTAGTTTCCAGAAATGATAAGTCCCAAAGGTTTGCTTGAACAAACTGCATGTTCTCAGAACACTGAGGGCCAGACACAAAACAGTCTAAATGCAAAACCAAACAAAAACAAAAGAAACCACCATGACCAATTCCTCGCTATTTTTCCTAGCTATTTTTAAATAATCAAATCACCATAGTATCTACGGCATTTTGAAGATTGCAGGGATTGTGAGTCACATCCTTATTTACAGGAATGAGGAGGAAGGGGTGTCAGCTTGTTCAGCATTTACTCCATGTACGAGAAGTGAAGAAGCCGGAGCAGGGGGCTGTTTGACATATAATTTTACCTTGTCCTGCAGTCTCTCTTTCCCTTCTTAGGACTCTGACCTGAGAGAACAGCCACTGCCCAGACATGTTTGGTGACAGATAAAACAAACTGTCTTCATTGGCAATCACATGTGCCTCCTCTTTTGGCTAGGGAAAACATTTAGTTCCTCCTTTTTACACACTGACTCAGTCTTCCATGCTCAGAGTGCTGCTACTAAACTACTTAGCCCGACTGTAAGCATCCAATAAAACGCTGGGGCCCAGGGATTTAGCTCAGTGGTTTTGCTGCCTGCTGCGCAAGCACAAGGACCCGAGTTCGATCCCTGGTACCGGAAAAAAAAAAAAAGTGCTGAAAAGCCCAGCTCCCCAGGGAAAGGCTGTTTCCCAGCGGGTGTGACTCACGCCAGTCCTCCCATGGTCATTATCATAGCTTTAGTAATCAACCCTCGTAAAACCCACTCCTTCCTAGTCTGCTTCTCCAGCTGCCCCAGAAGCGCACACTCGGAACCCCATGTGAACACTCAGAGTTCCAGAGAACAATGAGTGGGCAGGATATCAACACTCACCTCGGAAACTCGCTTAACAAATGTAGAACAAGGTTTTTTTTCCAAGGACCATTTGTTTGTAACTAATGAGAAATAAAATATATATATATTCCCAGTTCCTGAAAGCAGAATGATTAAGAATGGAAGGGTATTTGGGTACACTAAAGGCCCTTGCCAGCAGCTCTGTGAGTTATTTCATCTCTACCTTTGTAATTCCCTTCCATGTGATCTGCATCCCCAGATCAGATTACTATCATATTCAAAAGTAACAGTGACGGTAAAAAAACAAAACCAAAAAAAAAAAAAAAAAAAAGGTTGGTTTAAGAGTTCAAGTTTAAGAATACTCTTCTGGACTTGGAAACGTTTAAAAATGAGGCAGGCAGGAGTTAGAAATTGGGTGGATGGCAGAAATTTTCATAAAAAGTGGGATTATTGATGTTGCCAAATTAAACTTATCTGCTTTTTGTTCTGGCAGGACACTTGATACTGTATTCTATATAGAATATATTACTTATAATCTAAGGAGAAAAATATTCATTAAAATGACTTTTTAAAGGACATAATAACCTTATCATCTATCAGTCTATCCATCCATTTATCTAACTATGAATAACATAAATAACTGTATATAGCACTCTAAGAAACTGAAAATGAAATATCTTATAAAAGAAAACTGTTAAACGTGATATTCTAGCAGAGAATATGTTACCAACCATATGCTCAAAATTCTTTAATAGCTTCTCTTTGTTTTTAGCTTTAAGGTCAAAATTCCTTATGTAGTCTTCAAATTCCTGCCTTATCTAACAATTTCATCACATATCATATGCTTCCTATGTCTTCATGCTCAGCCACACTGGCCTACTTGAAAGTCTGACTATGCCACAGGGCCTTTGCCCATGTTTTCACTGTTTAGATCTTCTTTCTCTGGCTTCCTTCCTTGCTCCTATAACTCTTACCCACAGATCTTATCTCATTAGTCACTGCTTCAGGAAGCCAGGCCTGACACATCATTTCAGTTATTTTCCCTTTTTTTATGTGCATTCATAAATTATATAGTTTTTTTTCTATATTTGACATATATATTATCTGGTGCTACATAACAAATCACCCCAAAATTTAGTGACTTAAAACAACATTTATTCTCTCAAAGTTCCTGAGAATCGGATTCCAGGAGCACTTGAGCAGGGTGATTCTGGCTCAGAGTCTCTCCCAAGGTTTCATTCAAGACAGCAGCCAGGCTGCAGCCATTTGAAGTTCCGCCTGGGCCTGGAGGATCTGATTCCAAGTTCACTTTGTGGCTGTGGGCCAGAGGCTCCCGTTCCTTCCTGTGGGCCTCTGTGGCGCTCTGCTTGAGTCTCCTCACAGCATGGCACCAGGCTTGGTCCAGAGAAGCGACTAAGGGAGAGCAGGGCAAAAGGAAACGCTAGTATCTTCTCTGACCGGGTCTCACAATCACATACTGTCGCCTCTGCTTGTCTCCACTTTTTGGAAATCCACCTTTAAGCCTCACTCACACTAAAGTAGTTAGAGTTTGACTTCTAGCCACAGATGACCACATTCTTCTCACGTCTACACAAACTCAATGACACAGTAGATTCTTTAGTGGAGCACTTGTAGAATATAGCCTGAGTTATGTTTTCCTATCTATCACCTTCACCCTAATACTAATAGGACTGTGTTTATTTCTAATGTTCTATAGCATTTCTCTTACTGCTGATAACAAGAATATTATAAATGTTTGAAGATAGAAATTATTTTCCTTTTTTCTTTTTTTGTGCACGCACATGCACACATGTGTGTGTGTGTGTGTGTGTGTGTTTCAGACATCAAACCCAGGGTCCTGTGTTGCTAGGCTAGAGCTCTAACACACAGCTATGCCCTCAATCCTAAAGACAGAAAAGTTTTAAATGATCTGTGTTACATAGATAATACACAGTGTTAAGATTAGTGGAAACTGGCCAAATGGATGAAAATAAGACCGATAAGAAATTCTGCCTGTAGGGTTCTCTGACTTGTGATAAATTAGATGATGTTCTCGTGTACTGACAAATAAAAATCTGCTGAAAACATAGCTACTCAGGGAAATGCTATGTGTATCGTGTGGAAATACATAGCACATTTCAGGCTGAGACTAGCAAAGCTATGAAAACTATTTACTCAGTGACTCCCCAGTGTAGTGCCAGTGGTGTTCAAATATTTTTACCCCATTAAATTATTTTCCTTCTGGCAGAGCAAAGAAATCTTGGCACTATATTTCCCTAGCCCTCTCTTTCTGTGAAGAGCTGTCATTGCTTGAGTTCTGTAATATACACAACCCTTTTGGGTGAAGCACTGACCAAAATGCATCTTTGTATTTAAAGGTCAGTACATAAGTTACTCTTCTTTCTCCCATCCCACTGACCTATACCATATCTCCTGTATATTAGTATTTGTAAGCCTCGGAGTTACTAAAAAGGAAGGCTTTTCCGGGATCACAGATACTTTCACCTTTGGTCAAATATTGAAGAAGCATGAAGGTGAACAGCCTAATGTAACATTAAACCTTTGGGATCTGCAGGAAAGCTTCATGTGATAAATGAGCCAGTTGAGGGTTTAGATTCTCAACAGCCTCTCAGATTCTGGACTGTGTGACAAGAACCCCTAGTCCTGTGAGGTGCTTCCCCATGGCACTGCCCAAACTGCCAGTGATTGGTCTAGCCCAGGGCATACCAGTCTCGGTGCTCGGGACTCGTGGGACCAGCCTGTGCACTGCGGGAGGTTGAGCAGCACTGGTGGTCTCCACCCTCAGATGCCAGCTGTTCGTTCTCCTAGTCCTGGCAACAAGAGAAAATGTCTCCGGACCCTGCCAAATCCCTGGGGAGCAAAATCACTCCCAGCTGAGAACAACCAACCTGGGCAAGGCTATCATATTATTCTAGTGAACTATTCTTTAAGTTGTATGGACAAATATCCCAAGGCATAAATGCATCATAATCAGTATGTTCTGAGTTATTTGTATAGGAAATCACAGTCTTACCAAGGAAAACCATTTCACTGGTCTTTTTTTTTGCACATACAGCAAAAAATCAACTCTAACTAGGTAAGAAAATCCCAGTTTTCAGCATAAATGGGGTTAAGAAAGGAGAAACACACAACCCGGCAGTTTTTGATTCATGTTTAATGAAAAAAAAAAAGTTACATAAGTAGAAATGGACATAAAACACAGATCAATGTGAGAAAATATGGTGATAGCTAGAGCGAGGGAAAAACATTTTAATTCTGAACTTAGGCATATATTCCTATCAGTTATTACTGACCTAAAATGTCTCCTTATATCCAAAGAAAAGTAATAGTTATAATCTCACTGTTTTTTCATGGTAACTGACCCAAGGAAGGTACAAACAGTACTGTTCCATCTCCCCAAAGCCTTGGACACATGCAAGCTAAGGCAGAGATGTTGGCAGAAAGTGAACACAGATGAAGAAAATGAAGGCTTCTCTATGTCTTTATTCCAACAGCAAGTCAGCACGGGCAAATGTTCACATTTTCATGAGAAAGTCTTTATGGCTATGCAACCATTTATTCTTAGGAAACCATCACCGAAGGGTTGCATCTGACTGGTGAACACAAGCATATGCACAGAAGTTTCTCATGGTTTTTCTATTTGAACAGACTTGAAGTATTAAAAGCATGAAATTTAAAAATGCACCACCATGGAACTACAGTGAGCATCTTACTGGTTTGTTTCATGGCTCATGATTTTAGCAGAGTCAGTCAATATTCTATTTTGATTATTTCCTATGCTGACGTACAGAATGATCATATCTTCCTAAATAAGAAAATATATCTATCTATATATCTTTGAAAAAGCATTCTGATCTCTGAAAATATATATTGGTAGTAGCTTTGCACTGATGATCTCACTTAAAATAAAGTATCCCTTCTCTCAAGCTAGAAGCTGGCAAGCATTAAACTCTCATTCTAGATGTTTGCCATGTGGGTAATAAAGAGAAGCAAGAGATTTTATTTGCTATCCCTGTAAGATAAAAAGCTTTTGGCCAGCACACATCAGTCACTGACCTCTTATCCTCACATTTAATAATTTCAAGTTAGGATGACCCCTGCCTCTTCTGATACTGAATCCGGAGTTTTTCCAGTTGTTCCACACATTGCGACTGGGCCAACTTCAGGGTCCGATTCTCCTCTGTCAGAGCCTCAAATTCCCGAACCAGCTGGGCAGCACCCACCTTCTCCTTTTCTGCCTGGTCCAGCTTGGCAATGAGCTCCTTTCTGAAGATTTAGGGTACAGGACAGGAAGGACAGAATTCAGTGCAAGCAAATCAAATGATTCCATTTGGAAGCAGCTTTTGTTTCATTCTGCTCTTCTTAAATTGTTACCCATCGCTACTTACCTTCAATGGGATAACCTCTATTTTTGCAGTGTCACAAGTTTTATATCTCTTTGTTTTATTATAGCACCTCTACTAGACACAAAATATTAAAATATACATAAAAATCCCCATAGGTCCTTACAGTAATCTTTTTTAAGTGTACAGCAAATAGCTGAAATTATAATTTAGGGAAAAAGGTTTTCCTTTACAATTTCTTTACAATTTTCTGTAAAGGTACTGCCTATTGTCTTGTAGGGAGGACTACTTTGTTACTTACCAAATCTGTGTCCTCTAAATTCAATGGCTATCTGCTTTCATTTCCTATACCTGAGTTAAACAAATCTTTACTAGGCTTCTTCAAACTAAAAAAAAAAAAAAAAAACCCAACTCCTTTCTTGCATATATTATTTTCCATATATCTCTCTAGTCCTTACACAGGTATAGTTGTTCCTCTGTATTCATGGGGAAATGGATCTAGGACTCCCCACCATCACTGTGGGCACCAAAACCTCTCTCATATAAAATGGCATAATATCTGCATATAACATAGATGTATATAAATCATTTCTCAATTACTTATAATGTGTAAGGCAGAGTATGTGCTAGGTGAATCGTTGCTATACTATATCATTTAAAGAATAATGACAAGGAAAACCACACACCCTGACTACATAGCATATAATCCAGTTGGCTGAATCCAGGGATTTGACAGTGTAGATAGGGAGGACCATTGTGCTGCAGCCCTCATTAGCAAAACAGTATCTCCCCTCAGTGCTGGCCTGACTCCAGAACTGAGGAAGCAGCCTGAGGGCACTCGAGGAGACTGTGGTGGCGATGCCCAAGACAAATTCAGTTCTCAATAAATGTTTGTAAATAATTCATTGATGTAAATGCAACCAGAAAGGAGCTATTGCAATCCAGTTTAAATTGAACGAAACTGAGAAACCAAGAAATTTGCCCTGATGTGAGTCAGCTAATTCTAATCTAGACTAAACCTAACTGAATTCTTCACCTTACGTTTCTTCCTCCTCGGTAAAGCAAAGAACAACTGGTGAATGTTCTGATACAGTTTTCAACACGGGGTTTCCAAAAGCAAAGGCTTTGTGCTGCTGATGCTAATAACACATAGCTGTAGGTAGCACCTAGGTGAATAAGATTTGAATTTATTTAATATGTATTTGTAAATATAAATCAGTGCATCAAATCTGTGACTTCAAAGAGTTCATGTTCTAAGAGAATGATAATTTTTGGAGAAAATGTCTATGTAAAACTGATTTAAAGAAAAATATTGAATAAATAATAATGCAGACATAACATTTCATGGAACTTGTACTCAAATGACCAATGCTTGGGGCACAATGATGCCAGTCTAAGTCTCAAACATTGTTCTTTTTTGGGATCATATCCATCGCTCCCCCCAAAGACTTGGAGGTTTTAAGTGTGTTCTCAGAGAACAGGTTAAACTTCTATCTAAAGTAGTAACGATCTGAAACAAAAAATAAGTAAAGTAGGAACAACCTAGCCTTACTGTGTAACATGCACAAATATTGTCTTCATGGCATTCACTCATCCCTACCACTGGCCACATTTTTAAAAGCTTCTCTTCCTTCTTGCATTAATCATATAGATACTGACCTGATATTATATAATTTGAAGAGAAGAAGAAAGAAAAATATAAATTTCTAACAAGCAACAATATTCAAATTTATGTTAGAAGTAAGCCCAGGACCACTGAGAGTGGAGGTTTCCTGATTACAAATCCAAACTTGCAAGGTTCCAATAATTCAGAGCTAGAAAATAACCTGACCATCCCATCCAGTAAGGTCTTCAAACATTTTTGATTGTATAATACTATTAATTAAAAAAACTTCTGAACACCAACCTACATGATTCCAATATATGTATATTTATTCATAAATTATAAATTATATATGTTGCTAATATATTATGTAAATTATGAAGCATACCCACATGTAGATATGTAACATAAGAAGATTGGATGCTAAAACTAATGAGTGAAAGTTTTATGGGAAAAAGAAGATATAGTTTCAAAGTGTATTTTCACAAATTACTTAATAATTGCCAAGGATAAATCTATGCAGAAACCTGCAGGCCACCACATTGGCCAAATGACTAAAGTTGACATTACTACTCCAGAGGTAAGTAGATATCATATGCATTTGCCAAGTTCACAGCATCATTTCTGTGATATTTCTGCCAAAAATGCATAACCTAAGTCTAACTATAAGGAATACCAGACAATATCCACTTGAGGGAGATTCTACAAAATTGACAGCCTATCTATTGAAAACTGTTATGAAGCTTTTCATATTTAAAGCAACCAAAGAAAAATGGCAACTGCATGCAATGCACAATTCTGGACTGAAAAAAATAGCTTTGAGTGACATGATTGGGAAACTAATACAATTTGAATATGGACTGTAGACTAGATAACACTGCTGCATCATTGCTTTTTTGATATTAATTACTATATGATAGTTAAATGGGGATCCATCCATGTTCTTAGAAAATACTCACTAAGGTATTTACAGCAATGCAGCATGATGGTGTGTGTTATCCATATATAGATGTTTACACATATACATATACAGAGCTATATTTATATACATATATATGTGTATTTATAAACATATACTATATATATTTATGACTGAGAAAGAAAAACCCAGTATTGCTAAAGGGAGAAAATAAAGTACAGATGGAGAAATATTCAATAACTGATAAATCCAGTAAAGGGTATCTGGGATTTCTTTATTCCTACTGTTGCAACTTTTCTGTAAACTTGAAATTATCAAAATTAAGTTATTTCAGAAAAAAAAGAAAGTAAATTGCAATTGATGTTCTCTTACTTTCTGCACTCCATAGACTGCCTTTGCAACCAACTTGGTGTCCACAGAGCAAAGTTAGGCTCTGGAAAGAAAGTGCTAATCAGGGATAAAGAGCAGACCATGGGGAACATCTATCTGCATCTACACAAAGGTCCTTGGAGGGACCTTGCTGGTCTTTGGATCTTCCACCATGGTAAGAGTAGACTAGGCTCCCAATAAATGCTTGCTGAATGAATAATTAAAGAAAAAGTACCACAGAGAAAGGTAATTTATATTTAAAGAGAAGAAAACTCAGCTCTGAGTCTTCCATTTAATTAAAAAAGTCACATAGCTAATGAGAAAAAGCTAGAGATGAAGCCTCTACTTCTGATGCAGAGGTTAGAGCCCTTTGCCTATGGACAGTTCAGAAGTTAATGTCAACAATTAAACATTGATTAGTAAACATCATCTTGTAACTATATTAAAGAAATTAATACGTAAAACCTATATAA